GAATGAAACATTGACAGGTCCTACAACATGGATGAATTTTGAATACATTCTTCTAAGTGAAAAAAGCCAGACACATACTATATGATTCCATTTATATGAAATGTCCAGAATTCGCAAATCCAGAGACAGGAAGTTGATGAGTGGTTGCCCGGGGAGATGGCGTGAGGAATGGGGACTAATTACTAATGGGTGTGAAGTTATTCTGGGGGATGATGAAACTGTTCTGGAATTAATGGTGCTGACTGTACATCCTTTGAATACTAGCAAATCCACTGAACCGTACACTTTAAAAGGGTGATTAATTCATATGTGAATTACATAGCAAGCTTTTAAAAAATAATAGAGCATTAGCTACATTTGATTTGCTTTTCATTGTCTTCCCTGGTTTTTTGTTGAAATGCCCTTGGATTTCTGCAAGGAAAATCAGAGGAAAATTCTCCAAGGAAAATCAGACCATAACCAAAAAACCATTCATTTATAAGTGCTAGTTTTGATTTCCAGTTAAAGATGGGCCGGGAATCCAGATCACAGAGTCTCTCCCCCGATAATTAACACCACGAACAAAAAATAATTCACAAATAAGTAAGTCCATACACCAGCAGCAAGAGAAGGAAGAGAGAAAACTCACTCCACAAACATGGAGCGCTGGGACCCACTGGGAAGACCCAACATTGCCACATTCCCTCTCACCCCTGTCCCTGTCACCACCCAAGCTGTAAGGACAAGAAGCTGAATGTACCAATTCCTCATACCTCCAGCAAATACTTCCCAATTTGGAGACAAATGGCCTGAGGGAGTGAGTAGAAAACTGAGAGAGAACTTCTTAAAAATGGAAGCTCCTATCTTACTGGCCCCCTAGGACCTCTGCATCTCAGAAGGAAACCAGCCGTGCCATCCTCAGTCTAGGCTGGCTACAGGGTGCCTCTCTCACGGCTGCTGTCCCCAGCTACAACAGAAGGGGAGCAAGCCCGGGCAGGGCCACTCGCTCCACTCTCCGACCCCGCGAGGTGGACGTGACAAGCAGTGGCAGGCAGGGGAGGTGGGCAGCAGGACAGTCACCTACCGTAGGAAGCTATAGGCAGGACCCCTTGCCACTGTCCTGCTTCAGAAATCGTATACCAAGACTTACCTGTGGAGCTGAAGTTTTTCTCACATCCTAAGGAAACTCAATGGTAGACCCTGAACATGTTTATAATAAACTAAACATGTCACAATTCCTGTTCACATTCACTATTGTATTTGACACTTAAAACAACTGTCACTATTATTCCTTTTTTACAGAGAGGTTAAGGAACTTGCCCAGGGCCACAGAGAAGGGACACGAGCTACAACTCTGTTAAGCTACGAAGGCTGATAAAGCAGCAACAGCGCTGGCAGCCAGCACACTGCCTGGTGGAGAGAACCTCTTGCAGCAGAACTCTGGCCAATGGTGATGTCAAGGACAATGGGACTCATAGAGGCTGTGGTTACACAGACCCAAGAAGCTGACATATGGAAGTATCACATGGTTGCAGAAGAAACAGAACAAAAAATATTACAGTGAAGTAGCTCTTCTGTAACCCTGGCTACCATCACTATAGTTTCAAGAAAATGTTTTTATACACATTCAAAGCATCATCCATATGTTGGCTTCCATCTGTCAGTTTCCTGTGCCACCGCCCAGCATCAACCAGGTGTTTCTGAGCCTGGGAAGCCCTGTAATTACTTGAGTCTGTCCAGAGCACAGCTCGGGGAGGTGGCCAGAAAATGCAGAGAGGCTCTCACAGACGGTGTCTCAGCATTACTCACCGATCGTGGAGAGCAGGGATCTTGGAAGGACACTGCAGGTATTGCTTAAACCGGAGCTCGAAGGCTTGTCCGATGGCGCCGATGACATCTTGGGCCAGCCCATCACAGCATTCTAGAATGTGACAAGCTGGGAAAGCAAGGGACACAGCCCTTTAGAGACAGACAGTCGTGCTCCCTGGGCTCCTCTACAAAGAGCCCTTCCTGAGGACAGAGGGACAAAGAGATGCATGTGTTCTTCATAGTATGTCCTAGCCCATCTAGCAGCAGCTCAATCCCTGGGGGACCCCACAGCTACAATGTTTCACAGTAGGCATGCATTTTGTAATAGCCTGTTGTCTACAAAATTTTGGTTCTATTTTTTTTTTTTTTGTCTTTTTCCGTGTCTGGCAACGGATCGCAACCCTCAGTGTTGCCCCCGTACCGGACCGGGGACCGGCAACGGGATCGCAACCCTCGGCGTTGCTCCTGCGCCTCGCTCAGCCAGTGAGCGGGAACCGGTCTGTATGTGGGAGGTGTGGGATCCGAACCCTCGGGCGGGAGCACCGCCGCGCTTCCCAAGCGGCGCACTATCCAGTGTGCCACCGGGCCGGCCCTTGGTTCTATTTTTAAACAAAGTAAGAATTTTCAAGTTCAAATTGATGGTTTCTAAATTCCTTTAAAGCCTATAAATATCAATTCTGACCTTGATAGGAAAACAATGTTTAGAAAGAGACCACAAAATGACAAAGAACCTAATCTCTGCACGAACCAAGTCTCTTTAAGGCCCATGAGCCTTAAAAGATGGACTTAAACTGGCGTCTGCTGAATGAACCTTGATCTGTTCAATGGACTTCATGCAAGTTTTTTGCTTACTTTTTAGTGGCAGTAAAGTGGTGACCACCAAATGTGGCCCCTAGAAACAAGAGTGACCTTTTAAGATAAACGTAAAGGGAATTTATAAATCAGTATGACCATCCCGACAACATGCCATTTGCATCTATGTAAATTTGAGACTGGATATTCATGCAGATTCTCAGAAAAGCAGCTTGTGCAGAAGAGTGGATACAAGTTAGGGGTGTTAGTGGATCAGACAAGGGCCACTCAAAGCCAGTGAAGTGGCCTGAAGCAAGTCCTTAAGTGCTTGATGGCAGGCGCCAGCTGTCACACAAGGACAGCTGTCCTGGTGGCGAGGCTGTGGAGGAATCCACGTACAACCTTCAGAGGAAAGAGGGTCGAGTGGGGGACACAGCATGAGAGGTTCTCCTGGCCTCGGCCTCCCAAGACAGTAGTACTTCTCCCAGACACACATCCACGGTGCCCCACCAGGAGAGTCACAGCCCCTCCTCATGTTCCTCCTGAAGGGGCTACGGACTTGTCACCATGACCAGCCCTAACATGATCTTGTTACTAATGGGATAAAGAAATTCTGCTTGGAGAAAATGACAGATGCCTGTCACGCTTCGCCTTTGTCTTGCTGACAGTCACAACATAATTGCATCTCAAGGAGCACTCCTCCAGGAGCCCCGCCGGTCCCCACAGGGAGGAGGACGTAGTAATTAGGGAGACCCTGAATTGTGGCCTCCCTATAGAAGCCAGTACACATTGGAAAGAAGCCTCACGAAGACAGGAAAACTGTTCAGGAGGGGACAGAGACATGGCCACCTCCGCAGGGTGTGGCCACTCTTGCCCTAATGCTGCCTTNATACTAGCAAATCCACTGAACCGTACACTTTAAAAGGGTGATTAATTCATATGTGAATTACATAGCAAGCTTTTAAAAAATAATAGAGCATTAGCTACATTTGATTTGCTTTTCATTGTCTTCCCTGGTTTTTTGTTGAAATGCCCTTGGATTTCTGCAAGGAAAATCAGAGGAAAATTCTCCAAGGAAAATCAGACCATAACCAAAAAACCATTCATTTATAAGTGCTAGTTTTGATTTCCAGTTAAAGATGGGCCGGGAATCCAGATCACAGAGTCTCTCCCCCGATAATTAACACCACGAACAAAAAATAATTCACAAATAAGTAAGTCCATACACCAGCAGCAAGAGAAGGAAGAGAGAAAACTCACTCCACAAACATGGAGCGCTGGGACCCACTGGGAAGACCCAACATTGCCACATTCCCTCTCACCCCTGTCCCTGTCACCACCCAAGCTGTAAGGACAAGAAGCTGAATGTACCAATTCCTCATACCTCCAGCAAATACTTCCCAATTTGGAGACAAATGGCCTGAGGGAGTGAGTAGAAAACTGAGAGAGAACTTCTTAAAAATGGAAGCTCCTATCTTACTGGCCCCCTAGGACCTCTGCATCTCAGAAGGAAACCAGCCGTGCCATCCTCAGTCTAGGCTGGCTACAGGGTGCCTCTCTCACGGCTGCTGTCCCCAGCTACAACAGAAGGGGAGCAAGCCCGGGCAGGGCCACTCGCTCCACTCTCCGACCCCGCGAGGTGGACGTGACAAGCAGTGGCAGGCAGGGGAGGTGGGCAGCAGGACAGTCACCTACCGTAGGAAGCTATAGGCAGGACCCCTTGCCACTGTCCTGCTTCAGAAATCGTATACCAAGACTTACCTGTGGAGCTGAAGTTTTTCTCACATCCTAAGGAAACTCAATGGTAGACCCTGAACATGTTTATAATAAACTAAACATGTCACAATTCCTGTTCACATTCACTATTGTATTTGACACTTAAAACAACTGTCACTATTATTCCTTTTTTACAGAGAGGTTAAGGAACTTGCCCAGGGCCACAGAGAAGGGACACGAGCTACAACTCTGTTAAGCTACGAAGGCTGATAAAGCAGCAACAGCGCTGGCAGCCAGCACACTGCCTGGTGGAGAGAACCTCTTGCAGCAGAACTCTGGCCAATGGTGATGTCAAGGACAATGGGACTCATAGAGGCTGTGGTTACACAGACCCAAGAAGCTGACATATGGAAGTATCACATGGTTGCAGAAGAAACAGAACAAAAAATATTACAGTGAAGTAGCTCTTCTGTAACCCTGGCTACCATCACTATAGTTTCAAGAAAATGTTTTTCTACACATTCAAAGCATCATCCATATGTTGGCTTCCATCTGTCAGTTTCCTGTGCCACCGCCCAGCATCAACCAGGTGTTTCTGAGCCTGGGAAGCCCTGTAATTACTTGAGTCTGTCCAGAGCACAGCTCGGGGAGGTGGCCAGAAAATGCAGAGAGGCTCTCACAGACGGTGTCTCAGCATTACTCACCGATCGTGGAGAGCAGGGATCTTGGAAGGACACTGCAGGTATTGCTTAAACCGGAGCTCGAAGGCTTGTCCGATGGCGCCGATGACATCTTGGGCCAGCCCATCACAGCATTCTAGAATGTGACAAGCTGGGAAAGCAAGGGACACAGCCCTTTAGAGACAGACAGTCGTGCTCCCTGGGCTCCTCTACAAAGAGCCCTTCCTGAGGACAGAGGGACAAAGAGATGCATGTGTTCTTCATAGTATGTCCTAGCCCATCTAGCAGCAGCTCAATCCCTGGGGGACCCCACAGCTACAATGTTTCACAGTAGGCATGCATTTTGTAATAGCCTGTTGTCTACAAAATTTTGGTTCTATTTTTTTTTTTTTTGTCTTTTTCCGTGTCTGGCAACGGATCGCAACCCTCAGTGTTGCCCCCGTACCGGACCGGGGACCGGCAACGGGATCGCAACCCTCGGCGTTGCTCCTGCGCCTCGCTCAGCCAGTGAGCGGGAACCGGTCTGTATGTGGGAGGTGTGGGATCCGAACCCTCGGGCGGGAGCACCGCCGCGCTTCCCAAGCGGCGCACTATCCAGTGTGCCACCGGGCCGGCCCTTGGTTCTATTTTTAAACAAAGTAAGAATTTTCAAGTTCAAATTGATGGTTTCTAAATTCCTTTAAAGCCTATAAATATCAATTCTGACCTTGATAGGAAAACAATGTTTAGAAAGAGACCACAAAATGACAAAGAACCTAATCTCTGCACGAACCAAGTCTCTTTAAGGCCCATGAGCCTTAAAAGATGGACTTAAACTGGCGTCTGCTGAATGAACCTTGATCTGTTCAATGGACTTCATGCAAGTTTTTTGCTTACTTTTTAGTGGCAGTAAAGTGGTGACCACCAAATGTGGCCCCTAGAAACAAGAGTGACCTTTTAAGATAAACGTAAAGGGAATTTATAAATCAGTATGACCATCCCGACAACATGCCATTTGCATCTATGTAAATTTGAGACTGGATATTCATGCAGATTCTCAGAAAAGCAGCTTGTGCAGAAGAGTGGATACAAGTTAGGGGTGTTAGTGGATCAGACAAGGGCCACTCAAAGCCAGTGAAGTGGCCTGAAGCAAGTCCTTAAGTGCTTGATGGCAGGCGCCAGCTGTCACACAAGGACAGCTGTCCTGGTGGCGAGGCTGTGGAGGAATCCACGTACAACCTTCAGAGGAAAGAGGGTCGAGTGGGGGACACAGCATGAGAGGTTCTCCTGGCCTCGGCCTCCCAAGACAGTAGTACTTCTCCCAGACACACATCCACGGTGCCCCACCAGGAGAGTCACAGCCCCTCCTCATGTTCCTCCTGAAGGGGCTACGGACTTGTCACCATGACCAGCCCTAACATGATCTTGTTACTAATGGGATAAAGAAATTCTGCTTGGAGAAAATGACAGATGCCTGTCACGCTTCGCCTTTGTCTTGCTGACAGTCACAACATAATTGCATCTCAAGGAGCACTCCTCCAGGAGCCCCGCCGGTCCCCACAGGGAGGAGGACGCACTCTACATGGGTCGTTGTCCCCGGCACAGGTAGTAATTAGGGAGACCCTGAATTGTGGCCTCCCTATAGAAGCCAGTACACATTGGAAAGAAGCCTCACGAAGACAGGAAAACTGTTCAGGGAGGGGACAGAGACATGGCCACCTCCGCAGGGTGTGGCCACTCTTGCCCTAATGCTGCCTTTAGTAATTAGGGAGACCCTGAATTGTGGCCTCCCTATAGAAGCCAGTACACATTGGAAAGAAGCCTCACGAAGACAGGAAAACTGTTCAGGAGGGGACAGAGACATGGCCACCTCCGCAGGGTGTGGCCACTCTTGCCCTAATGCTGCCTTTTCGATGCACGAATCCAGCAAGGCCCTGGGAGTTCATGTAGAGGGCAGCCTTCCAGGCCCTGGGGCCTCAGCTGCTTCTTCCCAGACTCTGGGGAAGGTGGACTTCCATGTACACAGAGAAACGTATTTCCTGGAAGAGTCCCTTGGATACGGCAGTCCTACCTTAGTTATGGCCAAGGGATTCATCTACAAAGGTACAGGTGTCCTGGCTGTCTTTTTATTATTAATCATTGATATTATTTTATTTTTGATATTTTTATTTACTAAATATCAACCGAGGTAGTCACAAAGCAAGCCCATATTAAGCAGCTGTTACAGTAGCACAGGTTGTTGACTGATACAAACAGAAGCCTCTTTCGAGTTAATAAGGAAGTAGGAATCCAGACTTGAGTGAGGAACAGCCAGAAAGACAGCTCATTCACCCTGACCTGTCCCCTGTTCTCCAGCCTCCCACCCCCCTCCTGGCCTTGCTCTCCAGCATCAGCACCAGCCAAGGGAATCGGCTGGTCAGTACTTTAAGGAACCTGAGAAAATACTGGGAAAGGGTCAAAAAGTGTAGCTTATTTTTCTTTTAAGGAGAAGAGCAGAATCCTAACCTTTACAATGGAGAATGAAAAATAAGGCTTCTTCAGGAAACTGTACAATCTCATCCACACGCCCACTCATTCTGTACGCAACCAGAGAACACGAAAGGAAAGAGGGTCCTCTTTAAGGAAGTTCCAGGACGTGCAGGGAGGTGCAGGGCTCCAGATGGAAGCCCCTAGCTGGGCAAGGATCTGGCCCTGGTAGTTGAAGTGACAAACTGGGTGGCAAAACCTGCAGATAGTGAGAAGACCCACAGACTCTCCGGAATTAAATCACAACTCTAGGTCACAGTACCCAGCCCGCTCCTCAACGAACTGAGAAAACAGCATCATCTCCTGGTTTGGTCTGAGGATTCCTTCTGTTAAAATAGCCTCTATATGTTCCAGACACTTGCTCTAGCTCTAAAGTCAACGCTGGACTTGTCGCTCTGGGCCTGGTGTTTTCTCTGAGAGCACTACCACAGTCTTGGGCCAAAAGCCACTATCTTCTGAACGGACTGGCAGTGTGTGCTGCAGATGGCGAGGCCCTGCCCAGAGGGGGTCACCAGGGCTGCTGGGCTCAGCTGGGCTCTCCCTCCATGAGGCCACCACAGGGCCAAAGGCATGATCCACAAGCAGTGGAGAGGAAGGAACAGACAAGAGAGGGGTACACCGTGCTGGTGCACAGAGCCAACATTCAAAATGATGTAAAATCTAAAACACGGCCCACAACAAAGGAGCAGCAAACACAGCCATTCCACCACGTTCTCTCTCTTCTGGGGAAACAGGTCCTTCCGCTTGGACCCACGGCAGCCTGAGCTTCTGCAGGTTTGGGAGGAGAGAGTGTGTAATGCCCAGCACACCCAAACCCCAAATGACTTGACTTCTCTAAGTCCGAGGTCTCCAGTTTTCTTCTCACTCGTGACTGCTAGCAGCAAACTTTTTGCACACATCCCAAACGTGTCTATTTCTTTATAAATGATTAAAATACACTCCTGTATTAATTACTTTTATGTGTATTATAAAATATCTTTAAAAAGAATAAAATAAAGATAAAATGAACAAAAGGGTACGATGCCTTGTTGGCCCTGAAAGCATGAGGCACAACGGGTACTTTGGGTGCAGTTCATCATTCATGGCCATAAACAGAAATCCAGCTGCCCATCTTTGAAATGCTTTTCCTAATCATTTTGAATTCGGGGGATCGATTTCTTATCTGATTAGATTATCATTGTTTTTACTTTGAAATGCAGCCTATGAAGTGTCCACACTGGAAGTAAATGTATCAATCAGCAATTTCGTTTCTATCCTGTTTGCCTGAGCTGCCATTAATGATATAATCTCTAATTTATGTTTTTTCTCTGAGAGCCTTAGTTTGGTTAAATCTAGTTCATAAAAGCTATGAATCCACTTTGCTAAGCCACTTGCTCCAATTTTTTGGCACAATGGGCTGAGAGCAAGGGTGCCTGTTCCCTCGCCTTCCACAAGCCCTTCTTGCCTGGCCTCTGTGCTGCAGGAGCAGCTGGCACACACGATAAGCTTCCTGAGTCACTGTGCCTTTTCTATACTATTCTAGGCTAATGCCGCCCTCACGATGAACAGAAGCTCCAACCTTCTTTCCCCACAGGGAACTGCTTGCATGTTCTGGGGGATGCTGGGCTCTGCCAGAATCAGGGCAGAGGACTTCTCAGGACCTGTACTCCACCTTTTGAGAAGTCACGCCTCCCACCCCTCAGACCCGACAGACACTGCACAGGTCGGAGATGGTTTCCATCCAGCCTCCCCAGGAAGCCCACTCCTGCAGGAGCCCACCGAGGGGTCTCCGTAGTCCTCTTATCTGGACACATGGATGCTGAAGAGTTCACATTTGGCTCCAAGAGTTCAAATTCACTGCCACATTCTCTGCCAGCTGGTGACTGGCATTGGGAGCCTTGGAGACATTACTGAAGTTAGGAAAAGTCCTGCTCAACAATGACTGCTGTCTTTTCATCTTAGTGAGCTGATAACCCACATTGCTTAAAAGGAACATCAGAAACTAACGAATTGTAACTAGAGAAACTCAAACAGTAATCAGCCAGCCCTAGTCTGCTTATTCAGTGTATCCACAGTTCTTCATTGTTCCTGATTTTTTGACCAGAGATAGGTTAAAAATTCAAGATTCAGCTGTGATGCTATTAATTTAGAGTTGCTTAGTATGTGTCCTAGCCCCAGAGGGGCAACTTGAAGCTATAAGGAGATGGCATTTTGCATCCATGAGATTGGCAGAAATGCATAAGCCTGAAAATGCCAAGTGTTGAGCAAAAGGATCCCTTCTATACTACTCATGGAAATAAAAAGTGAAATGACCATTTCAGAAAAGTTGAAGATGCCCAAAGGCAAAGTGATTCAGCCTTGAGGTACATACCCTAGGAAAATTCTTGCACATAAGCACAAGACACTATGCACAGAATATTTACTGAAGACTTCACTCAGCAGACCTTTATTGAGCTACTGTGCACCAGGCCCTGCCTTAGGATATGGGGATGGAGCAAGAAACAAATCAGAGCCCCTGCTCTCACCAAGCTCACAGTCTAGAGAGTGGACACCAAAAATAAAGAGATATGCCACTACAGTGGGTGGAATGGTGGTCCCCAAAAGACATGCCCGCATCCTGACCTTTTGGAATGTGCAAAAAAGCGTTTTTGCAGAAGTGACCAAGGA